GAAAGTTCTTTCAAATCAGATGATGTAAAAAACTATCTGCGTTCAAAAAATGTAAACCAATATTTCATTGTCGACCAAAACCATTCTGCTCTTGGTGTCATTGACGGTTGTATAAAAATGTTAAGAGACTTAAACCAACCACAAGGTGGTGAAGCAAATGAAATGTCATATGACGACAAATATAGACACTTCTCCATGGCAAAGATGAGACAAGTTTTAAATATTTACAATAACCGTAAACAAAAAGGTTTGGGAAACCACTCCCCCGAAGAAATGAAAAACAACCCTGACTTAGAGAAAGACTATATATTTAATAATTTAGTCAAAAGAGACAAACAAGAAAGAATGCCGGGCTTCAAACTTCAGAAAGGTGACAAAGTAAAAATAGAAATACCTAAACGCGACCCATATGAAAATACTATTGACTATGACAACAATGGGAACCCGACAGGTACTCACATTCGTGTTCGTAAAAATAGAAGAAAGTATACAAGAGAATATTATGAAGTTTTAGGCAAACATGGCAAAATGTACACACTGCAAGCAGAAGATAAAACTACTATTGCCAGACCTCGTTTCAAACTTGTCAAAGTTCAAGGTGGTATACTTTCAAAGACAGTTCCTAACAAATATAAGACAACTCCTGACGAATATGCTAAAGAAGTTGAAAATGACGACTAAGCAATTCTATACCATGCGTAAACTGTCATGTAAGGTGGCATGTATTCTTTACTTTGTCCCGTTGTTTGCGTATATCCTGTAACGCGATGTGTATGGTTTCCTCCTCCCTCAGTGTTACTCCAGTAACAATTTATAGCAAACTTAACGTCGTCTTTAACATCATATCCTTTACCTTTTGTCATTGCTGACCAATCCCAATATCTATGCTTATGCCAACCTGCTTGAGATGTACTTAAATCTATGTAGTGACTATGTGCAGGTAGATTTTCACCTGAAATCGTTTTACTTCCACCTGTTTCCTTTGAAGAGTTTGCACAATACAAAAACCTGTCGACTATTTGAGTCCAAGTTCCAAAACCAAGTACTACTTCTGGTCTGGTAGAGTTCATTGAAACATATAATGAGCCAACCGGGTAAATAAGATTCGGCAAATTTTGTTTAAGCACATTGAGTTCCTGTCTTAGATGCATAATGTCATATAACTTTTCTTGAAGTTCATTTACGTCAGAAATGTTATGTGTATGATATTTTTGTTGGTATGTTCCTTCTGTCCATGCGAAAATATATTCTTTTGTTGCATCTACATATCCAGCTATCCATTTCGAGTCTGCTTTTGTATTCCTTAACTCTGTAACACCTTTCTCAAGCTCTTTCAACTGTTGTCCATCTTCCATTAAACCTCTGGTATGACTTGAAACCGTTTGTGCCAACATATCTACAGTTTCTTTGTCAGCTTTGTCATCTAACTTTTCTTGAAGTTCATTTACGTCAGAGATGTTATGTGTATGATTTTTGTCGGCTTTATTTGAAACATCTATGTCAAGTCTTTGCAAATGGACACTATCTTCCATTAAACCTCTGGTATGACTTGAAACCGTTTGTGCCAACATATCTACAGTTTCTTTGTCAGCTTTCTTTTCAACATCCTCTTTTGTTGCATATGTTGCATCTGCTCTGTCATGTTCTTCTTGAACTTTTTCAATGACATATTCTTTTTCAGCTTTGTTGTCAACATCTGCTTTCAAAAGAAGTTCATTTATAGGTTTCTCGTTTAAAGTTCCTTTTGTTGGATTTATACAGACAGTATTGTTCTTCTTGTCTTGAAATAGAAACTCATCTGTCATTGGGTTTAATGTCAGTTTTAAGTTTCCTTCTTTCAATGACTCAGATATCTTAGAATAGTTTGAAAAGTTTGTTGTGTTCTTATTTAGAGCTTGCATAATGAGTTGTCGGTTGTGTTGTATTTCTCTTATGGAAGCAATATCTTTCGACATTTTTATTCTAGATAAAATATGCTTTCAATAGAAAAAGAAAATTCAAGAGTTGCTACAACTAAACCATTAGATGAACTTTTTACTAATGTCGGTCAAAAGTTTGAGACAGAGACCGTAAAGCATGAAGGCTATCGTTTTGACTACCCATTAAGATGGCTAAGAGACCCATCTGTCACAAAAGCTATTGGCTTTCGTAGAATGAAGTTCATTTCAGAAGCCATACATGGTTTCCCATTTACGGTCGGTTTTGAAGTTCGATACTATAACAAAGAAAAACGTATGTATGAGAAATTTGAACAGGGAAAACTTTTACAAGTTAGTTTGCTTGTAAATTTAGAAACAACTCTTCAAGCTTTTCAAGAAAAAATAAACGATATCTATATTGAATATGCAAACCAGTATAACATTGACGAAGGAGAATACCATCTCGATATTATTTATGACAGGAAAAATGCAACTGTTAAAATCAATAAAATAGAAGACCTTGGAGAAAACGTTTATATTTCTACAAAATATAACAACTTGGCATGGTATAGATTTATGAGGATGTTAAATCAGCCTGCAGCATATCCAGTACACCCGGACTATTATGAAGTCGAAAACCCTAATGGAACATATGAAAATATTTTCGACCAAGATGCTATTATTGTTCATGCTTCATTTTCTGGCGCCCAAAACTCTTTCTTATGCTTGGCAAATGACTTTTTACGAAAAACCTACAAAGTTATACGAACCACCAAGTGGAAGTATTTCAGACTTTCAAGTATGGTTTACTACAGATGGAAGAAAAAAGAATAATTCCATTATACCATGCGTTTTACTTAGAACTTAGTTTCATATACAACTACTATCGAACGGTAAAAATATAATTTTTTAATACGGTTGAGGTGTTGGATTTGGTTGCCAACTAGACTGTGGTGCAGGTTCAGGCTGTTGTATAACAGGAGCTTTTCTTCTGGTTCAGGGTCTTTAGGTATAATACCAACGAACTGACCTACTCTTTTACCAATATTTTTGACTCCGTTCCAAATTCCTCTTCCGACAGATTTTATTCCATTCCATATACCTCTTCCAACATTTCGAAAGAAGTTTCCTATCTTACTGAAGAAACCCATTTTACTATATGTAAAAATCTAATGTCCGCCTAGTCTCTTACGTTTCCTGTTGAGTTCCATAGCATTCTTTAACTGGAGCTCATACATTCTGTTTCTCCTCTGGTAGAAAACATATTCTGGGTCAACTCCTGTGTTCGCGTCATCTGCATAAAGTTGTTTATATCCCACTTCAGGGTTTGTATAAAACTCTTTCCATCTCATATTTGCATACCATGGTGGCAAACCTAACGCAGCGTCATTTGACATGGCAGTTTGCATTTGTACATCTGTTGGCACTTGACCATAGTTTGCCATTGCAGTTTGTATTCTAACTTCATTTGGAATATTCTCTGGGTTTGGTTGTCCAGGTTGCTGTGCATTCGCTAAGTTCTGTGCGTCCATTTAATATTAGATAAAAATATCTCTTACGAGTACATATACTGAACATTTGCAGGCATTGGTTCATCTTCATATTCTCTGTATTTTTCTGCCACGTCAAATAAATAAATGACACAATGGAAAAAACCTAAAACAAGTAGTCCTATTTCAAACCACATTTACTTACTAATAAAATTTCTTTATTGTGACACTTTCTCCAGTTTATAGGACCTCTCTCATATTCTATCTTGTCATATATAAACTCATAGTCATGTATGTCCTCTAACCATCTCATAACGGTTTCCAAACCACTTTTATCGGATGTAAAGTAAAAGCATGGATGGTTATGTATAACGTCTAAAGTTTCTAAAGAGTCTCTCAAAGTCCAGTCTACTTGGTATTGAAAATCCCATGTGTTATAGAACGGCGGGTCCACTATAAAGAAAACATTTTCCTTGTCTTTATATTTTTCATACAACTCTGTCCAATGACATCTCACAAACTCTATACCCTCAATATATTTTTCTATGTCCTCTTTGAAAACATTTGTATAGTTAAGATATAAAACTTTTGACATAAGTGTTTCAATGTCATGAACTCTTATAGCACCACTATATAATAGTCTAGCAGATATACTATCCCAGTCTATATATTCTGCTTTTTTCAAAACCTCTCTCACAATATTTTTCTTATCTAATGGTATACGTTCCATCTTACCTATAGGTATCTTTTCTTTTAACTCTTTCAATATATTGTTTGTGTCTGGAATATGTTTGAGACGGTCCATATAGTTGTCGAAGTCATTGCATATAATCTTTGAGTCAGGAAATACGGTATGACATAAATGGGATATATAGAAACTTCCACCGAACAAATCTACAAATGTTAGACCATTCGGTAGTTTCTTAAGTTCTCTCAATATAATATCTTTACATCTACTCTTATTTCCAAAGAACGGTAACGGTGGTTTTGTAAAATTCATTTATATATAATAATAAAAATGTTTTTACCCGAAAAGTGACAGAAAAGTGACAAAACGTGAAAACATATATAATTTGTGAAAAGTGAAACAAAAAGCGACATTTAAAAAGTGACATCATTAATATGATGTAAATAACAACGGTTTTGGTTTTGTCACCGGCTGGTCGGCTGGGGTTCGGTCCTCCTCTTGGGTCTTGGGCAAAATTCTTAGGGCTAGAAGGGGCGCAGCCCCTGGAAGCCCCTCATACCTGACCTGTAAAATATATTATAAAGAGTATTTATATAAATATTGTTAAATAATATAAGTAATAAAAATTGAGACCCCTCCCTGTTTTTGATGTTTTGTCACTTTTTCGGTAATTCTTATTGTTTCTACATGACGCTGGTGCACAAGTCTTCAGCCCGTCCAAGATTGTTGGAGTCGCACTGGGCAACGAGCATGTTGTGTACAACAACGGCAAATGCACCGATTACGTACTGACAAGGTGCATCTCTCTTAACAACCTCATCTACCAGTTCTCAACATCCACCAACATGATCGACATGTGAATGGCAGTGTGAGTGTGTAAAAACATAATAAAAATTTAATTTTTTACTTCTTCGATCTCGTGTTCAGTGGTTTCTGCTGCCTTATCATGAACTCAAGGCTCTTCATGACGTACTTCACATGGGGTTCCATCTCGTCGCCGTATGTGTTGAACATGTACGTCATTGTCTCGAGTGCGTGTCTGTTCCTGAAGAGCTCCTCCTCCATGAACTGCTTGTCGAAGTACATCTCGAGCACAGAAGTGGATACAGGTCTATCCTTCCTCACCTCCCGCATTATCTGCTGTTTGATGTCCATTGCTTTTGGTTTCGTTGTCTTGTTACGCTGTATGGGAACGTGTAATGCATGAAAAATAGCGTGACTTCACTTTTGACAAAAAGTGACACTATTTCTGATGGTTTTATCATTTATTTGTCAGATTTATAAATGGATAATAATGCTGTAAATCAGATATTAATTAAAAATATTTAAGATTTATGTTCGAATTGAAAAGCAAAATGATATTTTTTTAATTGGAAAACGTTATTATCTGATATTTTGAAGTTTGTAATATTTGTTAGTATCTTAAATTATTGAATGCATACGTTTTTTATGTTCTCAATTTTAAAAAAAATTGTGAAGAATTTAGTTTTTTGGAGATGGATGTTTAATATTTGTGAGTGAGAATGCAAGCAGGAGTTTGGTACTTTAAGGCTAGGTTGAGATAGATTTCCCATTATATTATCTGTGAATATATTGCTTGAAAATTCAAGATATAAAAATATATTATCAAAAAATTTTATATTTTTAAATACAATAGGGTGGAAGTATAGTACGATGAGATAGCAATGATATATTTTATAATGGGAGGTAATCTGAAGATAAGTAGCAAATTTTATGCGATTTTGGCTAAGAATTGGAGGGTGTGAGTACTATAGCATGTAATAGTATCTCACACCCTCCAATTCTTCCTATGGCGCCGAAAAATTTTTGGTGAAATGCGACGACATTTCACCAAAAATTTTCGGCGCCATATAGAGAACTATAGTCTGCGAGGTACTGATTCTATCCATGTACCTCGCAGACCATAGTTCTCAGCCAAAATGGCTAATAATTTGAGAGTCTATATGATAATGTAAAAGTTAAAACATTCAAGTATTTAAGTATTTCTTTAAAATATTAAGTTTTTTATTTTTCCAATAAAATTCTAATATCAAATATTTTTATTTAACGATTAATTTTATTTATATTTTTATAGTTTTTTTTTAAGAAAAAATATTGTTAGGGTTTTATGGATTTTCAATTAATATACAAGATAATTCATGAATGTATATATTTCCAAGTTTTTAAGGACGCAACACTTTACATTTGTAAACTGTCAAAAATGAAGTCACGCTATTTTTCATGCATTACACTACTGCCACCTTCTGTGTTGCAACTGTGAGGGGGAAAGACTGCTTCATGAGGATGAGTTCTGCCTCCACCTCGTCCTCTCTATCTCCGTCTGCGTTGGCGTGCCTCACACCTATCCTCGCTGCCTGCATTCTCACCTCGTCCATGGAGTATATCCTCGTGATCCTGTTCGAGCGGACGACTTCCCCATCCACCACGCCAGACGCGGCTCGCTCTGGGAATGTGATATGTGCTTCTGTCGGCTTCTGTGGCTTGCTGTCCGTGCCTGTGCTCGCATCGTACACAGACAACCCGGCAAAGTCACTGCCACTCCTTGGCTTAATCTCCTTGAGCACAGCGCTTGTGATGAGTCAGCTGTACTTGATGTACATGGGGATGAGCCACTTGAGATTGTTGTCTGTCATGATAGAAGCCTTCTCAGCAGACATGGCCTCATAGCTGTTCCTCGTGACGTTGTACAGCTTCTTGTCACTGCCATTCTGTATCGAGATCGTGTCCTCACACCACGACGTTGGTGGCCTCAGGCCGAAGAAGACCATCGTGAGCTTGACCATCATGACAACACACCTGTCGACGATGACTGCGTCGTCCTTGTTGTTCACGATGCAGAGTGCGGCCCTCAGCTTCCTCCCTTCTATCACGCACTTTGCCAGCGAGTACAGCGAGTATATAAGAATTTCCGAAAAAAAGTGACACCCAAAAAGTGACACTTTCAATGGGGAGTAACACTTAAAAAGTGACAATTTAAAATTCACAATAAATAAAAATAATAAATTTTTTAGTCTATTAAATTATTCTTTTCTTTGAAATCCTCCAAAAATTCTTCGAAATGTTCTAAAATATAACCTGGAGAATTATAACAAAATTCATTAATTTCTAACATATACGTATCTAACAATTCATTTGGAATTTCAAACGATCTTAAATATGTAATTGAATTTTGTATCTTCTCATTTATTTGAGAAAGTTTTTCTTCAGCATTTTCCAATAAAAATCTTAATGGATTCAAATTGGCTTCTTGATTCTGAACAAAATTTAATACTTGGTATAAACGTGATTGAACTTCTCTTTTCAATTTTGTTTTATAATCTGTCAATCGAGGCTCGCGAATTCTAATTGAAGGAATAAAACCTGTTTGAAGTAAATCGTTTTTAATACGATAAAAGTAATTGGGTGCAACTTCTTCTAAAAGATTTTTGACAAAAACATCAATTCTTTGATTTTTAACGCAGCCAAAATCGTGATATTTTATCTTTTTAAATAAAGATTCAGAAACGTTATTCACAACGGTTAATTCATTTGGTCTGGCAGCGGCTATCCACTGTTGTTTATGAATGTCCCACTGACGTGTAAAGTATTGATTAAATTCCAATTGATCTTGAATTTTATCAATAATGTGCTCTTTATACATTTTTGCAGCATCTTCTTCTGTGCAATCACGATAATAACATAAAATGTTCATAAATTTTTCGACTTCTGATCTAATCTCTTCATCATTTATCTTTGAGAGATTCTTTTTAAGTGCGCGTATTACATGTAGCGCGCACCAAAAGATATTGCACTCCGGAAATGAATTCCTAATCCCGTTGAAAATGTTTAGTGCACAGTCAGACATGATAAATTCAGGTTCTGTGTGAGTTGTTTCAAAATATTTACTTAAGCAAAAAGAAATATTTTCACTATTATCTGGATATATTATAAAATAACACAAAGGGATAGAATGAGTATTAGCAAATTTGGTAGCTAATACATAAAAAGGAAATCCATGAATAATTAATTTAAACGTAGAGTCTAAGTGATAAATTGGTGGTTTTTCATGAATTTGAGAGATCATATCATTATCAGAGTAAATAAAAACCAATTTGTCTGGAAAATCAGTATCTTCACCTTGAATGTCAAAATAAATAAGGTCATCATGTTGATCTTCCCATTGATTAACATAGTTTTGTAAAGATTGAAATTGATTTAAAGATATGTCTGGTAAAGATCTCATAAGATCTTTTTGTTGTAAATAATATTTCAATTGATTGATTGCAGTTTGTTTCATAGTCATGTGAATACAAGTATGATCTTTAGGTATTTCAAGCGTTTTGTTGACTTCTTGTGTTGCATTAAGTGGACTTCCGTGATTCATGAGAAATTTTTTAATCCAAGCACGGTAAGTACCACTTGTAGGTGTATTTTTATGTTGTGGTGGTGGTCCTGAGTGAATATGAGTTAAGTTTGCAGATTTAAAAATGTAATTGTCGAAATTTTTAATAAATTTAAAGCCTGCTGGGCAGCCTTCGTATTCGCATCGGTGGTAGATTAATACTCCTGTTCCAATTGATAGTTTTTGTGGGTCTTTGACAAATCTTATGTTACCATGCAGCTCTGCAGCTATAACAAAACGAGAATATTCTAAATATCCTATGGCTTGATCAACCTCGCATGGAGGATCGGGTGGAGGATGTTGCATTGAGCAGCAAAAAGGAAAAATAAAATTGAAAACTCACATTGAAAAAATAACGGTTTAATAGAAAATATTTTTTTTCTTCTGAAAAAGAATTATCTTTGAGTATCTAAATTGGGATAAAGGATATAGAATAGATAACTAGTACTTAATATATGATACATGTACACGAAATGGAAGAATGTGTACTAAAAGAAAGAGAAATTTTAGCTTAATATTTTACATACGAATCAATTATCTTTGGTTAAAAGGTAGAATTGTTGGCTATGATGTACTGATTCATGATCAGTACATCATAGCCAACAATTCCTTATACAAAATTCAAAAACTTGGGTGCAATCAGTTCTGATTGCACCCAAGTTTTTGAACTTTCTTGAGGGAATTAAAGGGTGAGAGATTTATAGTCTATCTATATATCTCCCACCCTCTAATTCCCTCCCTGACAGCGGGAAACTTTGTCTGAATGTTAAACTATTCAGACAAAGTTTCCCACTGTTTGCGAAGGAATTGTTGGCTATGATGTACTGATTCATGATCAGTACATCATAGCCAACAATTCCTTATATAAAGTTCAAAAACTTGGGTGCAATCAGAACTGATTGCACCCAAGTTTTTGAACTTTCTTGAGGGAATGGAAGAGTAAGAGGTATACATTATGAATATATACCTCTTACCCTTCCATTCCCTCTCTGACAGCGGGAAACTTTGTCTGAATGTTAAACTATTCAGACAAAGTTTCCCGCTGTCAGCGAAAGAATTGTTCCATCTGGTGCATAGAGTGTGAATCTATGCACCAAATGGAGCAAGTCCCTCGCGAAATTGCCAAAACTTGCGTCGCATTTCAAAGATTGCGACCCCAAATTTTGCGATTTCTAGTAGAGATGGAGTATTTTGAGTCACTGACCTATATGCAGTGGCTCAAAGGGCTCCATCTCTACTTTGAAGCAAGGAAACTTTCCTCGAAATTTTGATAATTTGAAGAAAGTTTTCAAGCAATTAACAAAGGATTACTCGCTATGAGGTAAAAATTCTAGATTTTCACCTCATAGCGAGAGCTTCCCTTTCATTGCTTGAAAACTTTCCCCAGCTTCAAAATTGGGGAAAGGGCTGTAAAGTCGACTCCGATACCAGCAGGTACCAGAGTATTTAAAAGAGAAGCCCTCGTACGAGTTTCTATGAAGACCTTCTCATTCAAGAAGATCTTAATAGAAAATCGTACGAGGGCATTGGAAACTCGCGTCTGGTACATGTTGGTACCAGAGTGTTTGAGATTTGAAGACTTTGGTACTAACATGTACCAGAATTTATGATGAATTTAAGATGGACCATTATAAAATGGTAGCGGTTTGTTTCAAAAAAATTTAGATGTGATTTGCATAGATATAGATTATATGATTTATACATATGAAAAATAATATATAAAAATATAATTTTGAGATAATTATGTAAAGAGAAAGGGACAGACTAGCCCATTGTCACTTTTTAATTTAGCAAATGAACGCTTATGGAGTGGAGTTTTTGGGTAAATCTGATTTGCTTATAAATGAAATAAAATCAAAAGAAACCATATTGGCATTATATTATGCAAAAATAAATGATCTTACTTAGTACTTTTAAAGTTAATTTCAGAAAAAATTTGACACAATGGTATCCGGCACATACAAGTGGTGTACAACCAAAATATAAGTTAGTTTAAACATATATTGCTATATCTCATGATCTTACTTAGTACTTTTAAAGTTAATTTCAGAAAAAATTTGACACAATGGTATCCGGCACATACAAGTGGTGTACAACCAAATCTTCGACTCGATGAACTTGTAATCGAGTTATATTCCAGTGTTGTTCCTTTATTCCTGATTAAGTTGCAAATTAAAGGTCTGGATTCAGAGAGAAGTGTTAAAGTTATCAAAAAATCACAAGAGATTTCGAAGAAATGACACAATTTAAAAAAGTCGAATGCATCAGTATGCTTGAAGCTGTTCAGAAAGGTCTGAAAAATGATACACTTGATCCTAACATTGTTTACTCAACATTAAAAATATTATTGCAAAGAAAACATTTGATTTAATAAACATTTAATTTATTATAATTAATTTTTTATTACAGTATAGTAAAAAATGCTATAAATAAATTATTATATTTTATTAAAATGTGACTTTTAATAGTAAGTGAATAAAATAAATCAGGAATTGGGAAAGAAATAAGGTTAATTAAAAATAATGAAAATTACAAGTTTAAGGTTAATGAAAAAGTGACAATGGGCGAGTTTGTCCCCCACTCATTATGTAAATAATATTTTAAATATTTGAATTTGAGGTATAATTTTATAGTAAAATATATTATAAAGAGTATTTATATAAATATTGTTAAATAATATAAGTAATAAAAATTGAGACCCCCTCCCTGTTTTTGATGTTTTGTCACTTTTTCGGTAATTCTTATTGTTTCATGATTTCAACAATCGGCACAACAACAATTCAAGCCACGAACGGCGGGACTCTGTCCACAACTACAGCACCAAACTCGCTAGTCATGAATCCTACGTCAATGTTGGTAGAGATGAAAAGCTTTATTCCTTCTTCATATACTTTTGAAACAGAAATCCAGAAGATAAAGCAAGAACTTTTAACAAGTAATTTAGACTGTAGTGCGAAAGATGAAACAAATGAACAGTATCTTTATGAAATGGAGGACCTCATCGACCATTTGCCTAAACTACCTGAAATTCAGCAGCAAAAACTAACTATTCCTGAATTCGACGAAATTGAAGTCAAAGCAACTGACTCAGTAGAAATTAAGACATTCATACGTAAAGTAAATTATGAATTCCTTGGTTTTCATTGCAACCATAAAGTTATGGACAAAGATTGCGACATGGTTTATAAAAATATTTCTGACCTTTACAAATCCGAAGAATTTAAGACATACGATAACTTTGTTTCATTAGTTGCAAAATGTGTATGGCAGATAAGAGATAAAGATAGAAGATGTAAAGTATGGAATGAACAGATAAAACCAGCAGCTTTTGAGTTAAAGAAAACCATTGACGCCTTAGTTGTTCTAGCTGGTTTTATTTCAATGTATAACGCAAAAACGATGCCGCAATGTTCAAAATGTAAAGCAGCAATAATAAAATATAACTACTCAGTCAAAGAGATAGAAAGAATGCGAAACGACTATGCAGACTTAAAGAAAGAAGCAGAAAAGCCAGCAGAAGATAAAATGGATATGTTGACATTTCTTAATAAAAACTATCCAACAGCAGAAGATTTCCTTCTGTCTGACGTCAAGAAGAAATATAAAGAAACCTTCGGCATTGTTAAAACTTTTGATATCCTCAGCGAAGAAATAGAAGCTACGAAATTGTTTAGGATTTCAAATATACATCGTACAATTCATGTAAAACGCTTGTGAAAAAAGAGGTGAAAAAAGAGGTGAAAAACAGGTGAAAAAACAGGTGAGATCTCACCTCTTCACCTCAACATTATTTTTATTGAATTCAGCACAAAAATAATGAATTTCATTAGTTATTTTGTATGTAAAGACAGTAATGACAAACATTGAGTTTGAAACAGTTAGAAAGATAGACAATGACACCAAAGTGGTTAGAATAGGTGATTTAAACGTAAGATACTCAAAGAAATACAACAAATATTCTTTGTCAGACATTATATCTCCATCTGGAAAGAAAAACAACGACTGGGTTAGAAATGCTTCAACTCAGAAAATTTTGACAAGAAATCCTGAGCTTATGATATCAGTAGCATTTCATGGAACAAGAGCATATCTTATAGACAAAAGTCTTATACCAATAGTTTTGTTATGGTTAGACCCAGTTGTTGGATATAACTTCATAACATATGGTTCATTCGATACGGAACGTTGCAGTGAAGGCTTACTTTACATCGTTCAGAAACCGAAGGACTTCAACACAAAAAGATATAAGATAGGAAGGACATATAATATAACTCAAAGATATGACAGTACAGTCAATAGAGTCAAGGTTG